TTCTAGGCTATTGTTTCCATGAATAGATAAGGAGCCAGAACAGCCTCCTAAGCTTCTGTTCAATGGGCTCTTTGTTGTAGGTTCCACTGGAAGTATTTCTCCTCTGGGGATCTAGACTTCTGAGAAAAGACCATGATAAGTAGATATTCTGTAGTTTCATGCATTTTTGAGGAAGAGGACACAGAGGAGAATGATGTTAGTTGATATTACAGCTTCTACTCTCTTACTGCAGGCACTGTGATAAGCGTTCGTTTATTTTATCCTTACTGTCCTGGATAAAGAAATGGAAATAGCAAGCTTAAGTAATTGGCTCTAAGTCATAAACTGCTCAAATGGTAGAGTTTGGATTTCTATCTAGGCAGTCTCAGTTCTACCCTCTTGACCTTTCAGAGCTTCAACACGAGACCTTGTGTTGATCCTGGTTAGATCCCTGCACCATCCCACTTACGGAAGGTAATCAGGGTAGGACTAATGCCAACTGTGTGGTTCGAGTGCATCAATCATGTTTGAGCATTGTGAGGGAAAGTATATGAGCACTCCGCCAGGTATGCAGTACCCAGTCATCACAGCAAGGGGACAAGGTGGAAAGTGAACATATAATGCAATGTAGAACAGTTGTGGTAGGAATGTCTTTGTTTTTATCATTGTGATGTTTCTCAGAACAATTTGGTCTCGGGTTTCACCTGGCAGTGTGTGGAGTTACCTTCAGTTTTATGCTCTAGAGACCCTCTAATGCTGGAAATTGAGCCCAGTGCACCTGCATCCAAAGTATATGCTCAGTTATCACTCCAGCCCACAGTCCATATTCTAAATGAGCATCCTGTCCAAGGACAAGTGACGGGCTTTATCTACAATGGAACCCAGAACATAAAGAAGGGCTCAATAGAAGACTAAGTCGGGGTGTTTATTTTAGAGAACAGAGGAAGGCAAAACAGGAGCCAGAGAAAGATAAATTTCTAGCGAGACTATAAGCTACTCAGAATCATGATCATAGAGGGTATGAAGCAATGGTATAGTACAGAAGGTAGAGTGTTTGCCTTGCATGTGGCCAACACGGGTTTGATCCTTGGCACCCTGTATGGTCCCCTCAGCACCACCAGAAGTAATCCTTGAGTGCAGAGCCAGGAGTAAGTCCTGAGCACAGCTTAGTATGGCCCCAAAACTGTTGGAGTACAAGGAGCTTAGGTTTTTTCTGGTTACACCCATCAATCTGGTTACACCCATCACAGTGCTCCCGAAGCACTTCCACTTCCATTGTGTTTATCTGTAAACAGTCTTCCCTATGCTCTCCTTCCCACCCAGTTAATCAGCTTTCCCCTTATTCAGACTTTGTTAATTTGTAAGATCAGTTTCCCAGAAATCTATGATTTTATGAGTGAAATATTGCCTTTCTCCTCTCCTTATGCCTTATGAACAGTTTACCTTAAAGTAATATCCTTTTTGTATAGATACAGAAAGACCGTTAACATCATGCTTTGTAATTTAGAATTTGATTGGCTTTGAATATTATTCACTCCCGGGCATCTGGTTTCTCGACTTAAGCCTCAGTTGCCCTTAGTTCCTAACACCCCAAAGGCAGGGTCCCGACGAGGGACTGAATGGACCCAGGGCAAGCGATGAGCTACCCTGGCAGCGAAATGGGCCAGGCCAAGGTGCCACGATTCTTAACTATAAGTTAAGAGTTTGATCATAGACAAATGCTGTCATGATCCAAAGGTAACGACAAGACTAGGATCCTGCTAGGGGTGGGAAAGACTATCTGGCCTGAGCACCGTAGTCTGAGATCGAGATGACCCTAGGAGAGCAATTCTATAAGTTTAAGATATTTCTTACTGTATTCATGCAAAATGATTTATATTATATATGCTTATATGCTTGTCGGACAAGGAGAGGAGAGGCACACCCATGGGATTCTGCTCTAGGGTGGGTCCTCCTGCTGAGAAAGGATCTGTCCTAGGAGTGGCCTTCCCTGAGGCTAAGAGTTCTACCCCTATTGATTGTGACCACACCTATGTGTAATTGTTTCCCCAATTCCTCTTGGAGAGAGATATAAGGAGACCGTAGATTGGGCAGGGGGGAGCAGAGACAGAAGGAGAGGGGAGCAGAGACAGATGAAGAGAGAATCAGAATAAACTACGACTAATACCTACCAGCCTGGCCCTCGTTCCTTCCTCCGCCTGACCATCGCCATCGACCTCTCCGGGGTGGGAGAAGGGTGAGACTACCGAACGCGGGCGGTGGGAGAGATAGAGCCACCGCCGCTGTGTGTGCTGTGCCCCCTCTTGTGTGAGTTTACACACAAAACAAAAACAAAACAAAATAAAACAAAAATGATCATGGTCTTAGAAGACAGCCCAGATAAAAATGTTCAGGTTGGGAAAAGGGAATGAAAGTACAGATTGAAGCTAAGGTTTTACCCTTAGGCTGGAGAGATAAAGCAGGTGAGGCACTTGCCTTGCATGAGGCTGACCCGGGTTCAATCCATATTGTTCCCTGAACCCGCCAAGAGTGATTCCTGAGTGCAAAGAGTAGCCTGAGCTTCATCAGGTGTGTCTCTCCTCCCCATCCCCCTCTCCAAAAAGAAAGAGGCTTTAACCTTTAACCTGGGAGAGATTAAAGACCTTTGGGAGGGCTGCAACTCAAATCACCTAGTCCTGCTGCCTGCCCTACCACAGAGCGCAGCCCAGTTTTTTTTTTAACTGAATGCAATAACTCAAGAGTTATGTCCTGGGTAATGAGGTAATTGGACACTTAGCTCCTGCAAGACTCTGTCCAAGGCAAAGGAAGAGGGGGCCCCAAAAGCAAGCCAGCAATGAGGTCCCAGAGTAGGAGCTTCTTACAAAACTGTAAGAAGATCGACAATTTATGACTGATTTTTGAGAGATCAGCAGCTGAGTTATTCCAAAGAGGCCTGATTGCCTCTGGGCCCAAATCTCTGGAGCCTTAGCAGGACAGGCCGACTGAGTCTCCACCCACCCACATCTGTCTCGCAGCACTGCCAGAGAAATCGCCCAGCCTGAGGACTGATCTTAGAAAGATGCCGGCAGCTGGTTGTCTAGGCCCAGTAGAAGCAGAGAAAATTAGATGGGGAAATTGAGCAGAAGCCCACTACACTCACTGAGGGGAAACAATAAGAAGGCTCAACTTGCACCTAACAGCTCAGTAAATCCTCAGTAACTCTTGGCCAACTCTTGGATCCAACTCTTGGCCTCATGACTTTCGTAGCACCATTACGAGATATATATTGTGACGAGCAATATAAAGTAAATAATGTTGTGCCTGCGAAGGGTGCAGACTTGGAGGGGGGGTGGGAAACTGGGGACACCCGTGAAGGAAAGGGCACACTGCTTGTGGGACAATAGTAAATATCTGAAACAAACGTATTGTGAACAACTGTAAATCTTGGTGTTTAAAAATAAGAAAAAAAAAAAAAAGGACTCATTAGGAAGGCAAGATCAGCTTCTCAAAAAAACAGAGATTGCCCAATAGGACTTAATGTCTTTCAGTTTGTTTTGCTGGAATCCAGGGCCTCATACACGCAGGCAAGGTTTCTACTGTTGAGTTACATCCCCAGCCCTGACTCCAAATTCATTTTATATATTTTGAATAGCACAGCGGTAGGGCGTTTGCCTTGCACACAGCCAACATTGCCGACCCAAGTTCGATTCCTCCGTCCCTCTCGGAGAGCCCGGCAAGCTACCGAGAGTATCTCGCCCTCATAGCAGAGCCTGGCAAGCCACCCGTGATGTATTCGATATGCCAAACACAGTAACAACAAAGTCTCCAATGGAGACGTTACTGGGCCCGCTCGAGCAAATCGATGAACAACGGGAGGACAGTGACAGTGACTTCATTATGTACTTATTTTTTCATTCAGTGTTTAGTTTCCTACCCTGTTTATTGCTGCTGCTTCTGTTCTAATGACCAGGGGCTGCACACACACTTGGCCATTGTTCTTTTTTCTTTTTCTTTTGGTCACACCTGGCGATGCTCAGGAGTTCCTCCTGGCTCTGCACTCAGGAATTACTCATGGCGGTACTTGGGGGACCATATAGGATGCCAAGGATGGCCGCATGCAAGACAAATGCTCTACCTGCTGTACTATCAGGCCCTTTGCCTGTGGTTTTTGTCAGGGATCACACACTTGGTTTCATTGCCCTAGAGATGTTGCATGGTTGTGGCTCCAGGGACCCTACACAGCTGTGTACTCAGAGCATGCAGGGGCAGGGTTGGGGATCCAACTCTTGGCCTCATACTTGCAAAGCAGGTACTTTGCTACTGAGTTAACTCTATTTTTTAGGGGATGGAGTTGGGTTTTGTTTGGGACCATACTCAGTAGTGTTCAGGGTTTACTCTATTTTTTTTTTATCATAACATGAGACCCATTGGAATTACTGGTTTTGGCATATCAAAAACACAACGGATAGCTTGCGAGGCTCTGCTTTGCGGGCGGAATACTCTCGGTAGCTTGCCAGGCTCTCCGAGAGGGATAGAGGCTTTTGGGGCGGCCTCTAATTGCCCTTGTAGGTGTTACCATATTTGAACCCTATCAAATATGGTACGGCAATTCTGGAAGATGGGTATTTAGTGTCTTACAATGTGTCGCGCGGCCGCTTCGCGGGTCCGGAAAGCGTCCTGGAGCGTGGCGGCGGCTGGGTAGTGGAGGCAGGTAACCAAGCTCATTGAGGTTTCTCGGGAGTTCAAGATGCCGCTCTGTCTAACATTCATTGATTTAAAGAAGGCCTTTGATTCTGTTGAGATGGAAGCGGCCATTGAAGCCCTAGCCAATCAGGGCAATCAAACTCAATACATCAGGATGTTCCCAGACACACACACTGCTCTTCACCTTGGTTTTAGGGAACAAACTACTTCTCAAACGCCTTATTCTAGTAATTATGTGTAAAACCTTATATCAACATTTTTTTCTGCCATTGGGAAACACCTTAATTTAAACAAAATTTTATCTATATTCCCAAGAAATGGGGAAAAAATGATTTTTTTTTTGCCTTTCCCAAAATATTGCAGATCAGTTACAACAAACAGAATGGCAACCATCCTGAAAATTGTGAGTCTTGATCCTTTTAGACTACAAGAGCTTTTGGGAAGCAACAGCCACACACATTATGGCTGCTCTTTGATTTTTTTTCTATGTATATTTTTTATACTGCTGAGATATAAACCAGGGCCTCACACATGCGGAATAAACATTCTACCACTGAATACACCCCCAACCCCCTAATACCCCCTTTTTAATTTTTTTCCCTCTTTGGTTTTTGGGTCACAGCTGTTTGGGGACTAGTCCTAGCTCAGTTTTCTGACTCCTGGTGGTACTTAGGCGACCATATGTGGTGCTGGGAATAAAACCAGGATTGACCCAAAGCAGTCAAATGGAAGGTTAGCGACCTCCCTCCTAAATCAACTATCTGATGCAAGTTCATTTGTGTCACACCAGGGGTGCTTGGGGGCTGCTCCCAGCTTAGTGGTCAGGGAAACATGTGATGCCATGAATTGAACCTGGGGTCCCTGGATGCAAAACATTTTCTTAGTCCTTTCAGCTATCTCCCTGGCTTCTCCATTTTAATTATTTTTTTTTGGGGGGGGCATACCCATCTGTATTCAGGGTTTATGCTTAGGGTTCACTCCTAATGCCATTGGCAGACCACGTATGGTTGCCAGGGATCAAGTCCAGGTGAGCTGCTTGAAAGCAAGCACCTTCTCCACTGAATTATGGCTCTGCCCATCCCCCACATCTGACCTTCATGTCACATCTTTCATATTGGATTAAGGGCGCCCACCCTACTCCAGTGTGTCTTTGTCTTCATTTGATTGCACCTTTTAATTTATTTTTTAAAATTTATTAATTTTTTTTGCTTTTTTGGGTCACAACCAGCGATGCACAGGAGTTACTCCTGGTTCATGCACTCAGAAATCTCTCCTGGCAGTGCTCGGGGGACCATACGGGATGCTGGGAATCGAACCTGGGTCTGCCATGTGCAAGGCAAACGCCCTACCTGCTGTGCTATTGCTCCAGCCCCTGCACCTTTTAATTTAGATCACATTCTGAGATATTGGGATTAGGCCTCCAATGTATGAACTTTTTTTTAATTTTTATTAGTGAAACACCATGAGGTACAGTTGTAGACACAATTTTTTGTGCTTGGGTTTCAGTTATACAATGCAATCTATGAGTTTTGAGATACAATTTAACCCTTAACATCCCACAAACCTCTCTTTTAATTAGTAGACCACAAACACTTTCTAGGTCTCTTGGGTTTAAGGCCAGTTCCCCCCCCAACACCCCCACCCACCCACCAAATAGTTCCTAAACACTGGCACATAGATAAATGCCCTAAGATTGCTTTGGGAACAGTAAGAATATTTACAATCCAGGAATCTGGAGTGATAGTACACCGGGTAGGGTGGTTGCCTTGCACACGGCTAACTTGGGTTTGAGCCCCAACATCCCATAAGGTCTCCCTAGCACTGTCAGGAATGATTTCTGAGGGGAGAGCCAGGAGTAACCTGAGCATTGCTGGGTGTGACCTCCAAACTATATACACACAAATAAGAATATTTACAATTCAAGGACTGGAGAGACAGCAAATGGTTAGGATGCTTGTCTTGCATGCAGGGTTGACCTGGGTTCAATCCCCAGCACCTCATATAGTCCCCCAAGCACCGCCAAAAATATTTTCAATTCAAACAACCCAAGTGCCTGAGAACAGATGAGTGGATAAAAAAAAAAAATCAGGGCCAGAGCGATAGCACAGCAGGTAGGGTGTTTGCCTTGTAACGGCCGACCTGGGTTCAATCCCCGGCATCCCATGTGGTCCCCCAAGCACCGCCAGGAGTAATTCCTGAGTGCAGAGCCAGGAATAACCCCTGAGCATCGCTGGGTGTGACCCAAAAAGAAAAAAAAATCAACTGTGGTACATCTACATAATGGAACACCATCCAGCCCTTAGGAAAGATGAAGTCATGAAATTTGCTTATATATGGATATGGAGAGTAATGTGAGTGAAATAAGTCAGAGGAGAGGGAGAGGGACAAACAGTGATCGCACTTATTTTCAGGATATAAAAAATACATGGGCTGGAGCACAGTGGGTAGGGCGTTTGCCTTGCAAGCGGCCAACTTGGTAGACCCGAGTTCAATTCCTCTGCCCCTCTTGGAGAGCCCGGCAAGCTACCAAGAGTATCTCACCCGCACGGCAAAGCCTGGCAAGCTACCTGTGACATATTCAAAACAAATAAGAATATTTACAATTCAAGGACTGGAGAGACAGCAAATGGTTAGGATGCTTGTCTTGCATGCAGGGTTGACCTGGGTTCAATCCCCAGCACCTCATATAGTCCCCCAAGCACCGCCAAAAATATTTTCAATTCAAACAACCCAAGTGCCTGAGAACAGATGAGTGGATAAAAAAATATGCCAAACACAGTAACAAGTCTCACAATGGAGACATTACTGGACCCGCTCGAGCAAATCGATGAACAACGGGAGGACAGTGATACCAGTGAAAAAATACATAGTAGAAAATCTAATAGAAATGGGGCCAGGACTGGTTCATGATAAGAAGTTTGCCACAACCGGGTGGTGGGGTGGGGTGGGTTGGGGGTGGGGGTTAGTTAGGACAGAGAAAGTACCACTATAACAATGATAGTTGGAAATGATCACTCCGCACAGGAACTAGGTGCTGAAAGGAGGTAAAATGATATGCATGATATCTTCAGGTAACAGTATTGCAAACCACAGTGCCTAAAACTAAAAAAAGGGAGGGGAAAAAAAAGAGAAGAAGTGTCTGCCAGAGACAGGCGGGTGTGGGGGGGAGGAGAAGCAGGACAAGCCGGGTGGGAAACGTGTGCTAGTGAAGGGATGGGTATTGAGACATTGTGTGACTGAAACTCAACGTTAAACAACTTAGGAATTGTGTATTCTCACAGGGATTCAATAAAAAAATACATAAAATTTAAAAAAGAATATTTACAATTCAGTTATTTCCGGTGATTCCTTCAGGATACCCAGAATTTATTCAAGGAACATATGTCTCAGAATCTTATGTGTCCATAGCTTCATTTGGGTGAGTCAAACAGGCCTCTCCCAGACCTGGACCTTTGTATTGTGTGATACAAATCAATTATGGCCTTAATAGTAACCCATATATTTCATCACTCCAGTCTTATTGCCTGGTGCTACCCATGGGTCCTGCCACTCCATGATCCCATCAACCCTACTAATATTAGAAATTTCATCTTGATGGCAGCAATTTTTAGCTTCATTCTCAATGTATGGCGGAGGATATACACTACAGCACTTTACAAGATCAGGCGTTTCCTTTTATATGCTCTTCAATTCCTTGGTGGAAGAATATCCTCCTAGCATTTCTGGAAGGCAAAATTAGGAGATGAGTGGTCAGGCATATGATCAATCTATGTCAACCCTTCTATATTCAATGTGTATGAATGTAGATCGCTGTTGAGTTCAGGTTTCATTCAACTAGCTAAGAGCCACTGTTTGATGTTAAAGTTACTTAAGCTAGTTAAACGCTAAAGATACTTAAATTCAGAATTTCTAGAACACCATATTAATTTCAAGTAAAATTAAAATAGTTATTTTCAAGTGCTTCCCATGGAGGGAGACTGGGGGTGGGGGGTGGGGTGTTGGGGGATGGTGGGAGGAAAACAGGGGACATTGGTGGTGGGACATGCACACTGGTGAAAGGATGGGTGCTGGATCATTGTGTGACTGAAACCCAATAATGAACAGCTTTGTAACAGTCTATTTCAATGATAGTCAATTAAAAAAAATTTTTGAAATAAGTAATGTGGAGTTCATGCCCTCTTTAATCAGCTTAATCTATGGCTGAATAAATAGCAGTACTCCTACATTAAAAAATTATTTTCTTCCTGGTGTAATACAAATAGAATATGTTCCAAATAGATCTTAACAGTTCTTACCTTCTAGCAGATAGTCTCCAATCTGACTCTAGTTACAGATCTGGTGGCAAAGGGGGATAATGGTTGAGATGTAAGAATACTGGTATTTTCTTTCAAGATAACTATACCAAAATGGACCCATCAATAAGAGAAAGAAGGATGTATGTATCTGCTGATAGAGAAACTACATAGTCTCTACGGTCCAGACTGCTAAGCACTGTCTGTTGCACTGTCCTCCCGTTGTTCATCAATTTCCTTGAGCGGGCACCAGTAACATCTCACAACAAATTGTGAGACTTGTTACTGTTTTTGGCATATCGAATACGTCACGGGGAGCTTACCAAGCTTTGCCGTGTGGGCAAGATACTCTTGGTAGCTTGCTGGACTCTCCGAGAAAGGTGGAGGAATCAAACCAGGGTTGGCCGCGTGCAAGGCAAACACCTTAACTGCTGTGCTAAGATTATTCCAAAATCTCAAATGTCTTTCCTCATTTAAGAGTTTCATTCTTTCCAAAACAATTGCTTTAATTTTCACATAAGAGATCTGGATAAGGTTATGAATTTGGTTGGGTTTGTTTTTGGATCACACCAGCCATGCTCAGTGATCACTCCTGGCAGTGCTCAGGGGACAATACGGGATGCAGGGGATTTAACCTGGGTTGGCCGCAAGCAAAGCAAGCATCCTACCCGCTTGTACTATTGTTCTGGTCTATACATTAGCTTCTTACAAGAGTTTAAAAATCTGGGCAAATCCCTCCAGACTTAATTAGTAAAATATCAGAAATCATATGGTCTTCATAACCAGCAATAGAAAACAAATTATTTCACGATGGCATTATTTCACGATGCCTTTTCAGCAGGTTTGATTGTTGGGGGGAAATTCCAAATAATAGTGGTGCATCTTTTGTAGAAATAATAAATGTAATCAAAGTCGAGAGAGAGTTAAGTGGAAACCATCTGCCTCACAGGCACGGGGAGGGCTGGGATGGGGCGTATATTGGGGTCTTGGTGGTGGAAAATATGCACTGGTGAAAGGATGGTTATTTGATCATTGTATGAACAAGACAAACCTGAAAGCTTTGTAACTGTTCTCACGGTGATTGAATAAATAAATTCTGTCACTGTCCTCCTGTTGTTCATCAATTTGCTCGAGTGGGCCCAGTAACATTGCGAAACTTGTTACTGTGTTTGGCATATCGAATACATCACGGGTAGCTTGCCAGGCTTTGCCGTGCGGGTGAGATACTCTCGGTAGCTTGCCGGGCTCTCCAAGAGGGGCGGAGGAATCGAACTCGGGTCGGCCATGTTGGCTGCGTGCAAGGCAAACGCCCTACCGCTGTGCTATCGCTAATAAAAATAAATAAAATAAATAAAAATCTGGGCAAATAGGTTCTAGGCTGGGCATAGAACTCTCAGAATTGGTCTAACATGGGAACTGCTATTTCTGGGTGAAGATGCATCAAAAAGTTATTTATAAGCCAGAAAGCCTTAGCACCATATAGCTAAGAATACTGGAATATCATTTATGAGAAACCTGAGGTCTCTATGTCGCTGAAGGACCAGTGAATAAGCTAAGATAACCCTTGAATTACTCCTCTGCTTGTACACAGTGGGAGAGTTATATTACACTCAGAACCCTGGTCTCATGGAAGTGTCAGCTACTTAATTTTTTAGATTTCCAGAGTCTAGAGTACAAGAAAGTACATTAGAGGGCAGAAAGCATACCATATCTGTTAAGTTTCTTACCATTTTCCTATCCAAGTAAGACTGGTGGCTGGACCTGCCCACTTTCAGTTTTAGCTCCTTTGAAAGTTCATCTCAGGCACCACATCTTTTCGAATTTGAAGATCACCTTTCTCACCTCAGAGGAAATCTAAAATTTGTTTTCAGAGTTGTTCTGCTAACATACACAATATTGTTCTCAATCACCTCAACTCCATCTAGTACTCTCACTAAAACTTTGTTCTAGCCTATATTATAGGTTTCCATGGTGTGTGTTTCAGAAGACCAAGGTCGTCTCACCTAAGGGCTATTGTACATGTTTTCCAAATGTCTGGGTTTGTTCTTCCCCTAGATAGCCACATGGTCCTTCTTCAGTCCTTCAGGGCTCTAGTGAAATGTATCTTTATCACAGACCTCTTTTTGTTTGGCTTTTGAACCACACTTGGGAGTGCGGCAGTGCCGGCATCCCAGCACTTTGCACTATCTCCACAGCAGGCACCTAACTACCCATTTAAAGTAGAGTAGCAGGGACCGGAGCGATAGTACAGTGGGTAGGGCGTTTGCCTTGCATGTGACTGGCCGGGTTCGATCCCCGGCATCCCATATGGTCCCTCAAGCACACCAGGAGTAATTCCTGAGCGTAGAGCCAGGAGTAACCCCTGAGCATTGCTGGGTGTGACCCAAAAAGCAAAAAAAAAAAAAAAAGTAGAGTAGCAGTATCTACCACTTCTCATTTCCCCTTTGACCTCATTCAGGTTATGTACCTGATCTTTTCACTTAATACTACAGTGTATGTGTTAGAGACAGGTAATTTGTGTTTTCCTTATTGCAGCAGCCCATGTATCTCAGAATGAATGAATGCAATACAGAAGAAATTAGATGTATCCTAAAGGGAAAATCAGACTTCCCAATGCATTGCCCATATTCTCCTCTAGGTGGTAGTGATGGGCCTTTCCATCTGCTAATGTCTAAGAAATTTAACAGTACCATTGCAAAAGATTCACATACCTTTATTTTCACAGTCCCTAGTCCAGAGTATCTGGGCTTTTCTTAATGATACCTCAAACCTCCCCTAACTAATTTCTTATGAATACAAGAGAAAAAAAAAAAAACATGGGCATCTACCCAAAGCATTTTCAGTACTCCATCTCAATCTTTACAACACTATAATTAGCATTATTCCCATTTTTGCTACTTGCTACACAAAAACCTAACTCAAAGTAAGCTCCCAAATACCACAGAAGTAATAAGGAGAATCTAGATAATACAGATTTGCCCCTTCAACAGATTTTGATTTTATCAAAGTTAGCTGCTCTCCAATGAGGCTTTAGAACTGCAAATCTTGGTTTTACAATTTACATTTCAGAGATTTTCAACAGTTTTCCCAGTTCACACAAGGACACCCTCTGGAGCACAGACTCAAAGTCTACTCTAACAGTATTTCCTGTCGCAGGTGCACACAGAGAAATATGCTAACTCTGGCCTCAGTGCTCAAAAGATAAGAATCTTCTAAGTTGACTGTTGTCCAGACACATCCTCCTCATGTGGTAAAGCACAGGCCAGGATGACAAAGCGCAGGTGCATCTGTGAAAGGAAACAGAAAGCAATCTGGCCCTCAGGAAAGGATGTTTTCAATTCTTCCTCTGGGCCCAGGGCTAACGTGATAGAAGAGTTTGGCACTAGAAGTTCCTCAAATTTTAACTGCAAGTTGGGGACATCAAAGGGGAATGGATTTACACAAAGTAACTACACTAGATTTGGTATCTTAAAATAGGTCTCATGAATTTTTTAGTTTTTCTGCTGTACTATGCAGGGGGCTTTAATTTCTAAGGCCATTACTATAGATAGAACCAAAATTCCAAGCAGAGCTTAGCTCAATTTTAATGAATTTATGAAATAAAACTAAGTGAAATTTTGAAGGCAAGTCTCTTGCCTAAAATTACACATTTTAATCATAATCCTTAGTTCTTCTTAAACTACATTAGCAAAACTGGGAAGGCTTTTTAGAATAGGGTATGTGAGAGCATGATGAATGCCTTGGCTATCGCTTGGTAATTATGAAGAACCAGTTCATTTTTTCCTTCCTCTCTGATTCCTGGTTTATAATCCTGAGACATTCACTGAGCTCTCTATGAAGAGCAACTGGGACTGTCAGCCCTTCCCTCCTTGGAAGTACATTTCTAATAGTGAATACTTTGTGAAACAGAAAGGCTAAAACTACACAGCTGCCTCTAGAGGGCAAACAAGGTTCATTTTCCCCTACAGCTTATCTGGCTGACTCAGCTAATTCTTCAGTCTGACTCTTCAGTTCAAAACAAGTCTAGCTTTGCTTCCTGTCAGGCCAGGAGTGGCTGGTTTATAGATGGCTCCACTGCAATCTGACTCCAACCCATCCTCCCTGGGAAGGGAGAAACTCAGATCTAGAGACTATTAAAGATGTAGTGGCCTATTTTCCATGAAACATTTGGCAATGTAAACTACCCAAGCTAAGGACAGTAAGATGAGTTGAATTATGACAGAAATCTTTATTAAAATGTGTCCTTCAGTAAGGTTAGCATACATACAATATACACACATACATCTGTACACTCTTTGACACACCTCACAGATTGCCACCATCAGTTTAACCAATAAATTAAAACTAGAAAAAGGGGAAGGGTGAGGGGCGTGGGACAAAGGGGTAAACTTCCATGTTTTATCCAGTAAGAAATCGCAAATTTCTCAGAATTTCCCTGGGGAAAACCTGTGACCAGAGAATCTTTGAAATAAAATACATAAATCCCTTCGTTTCCCGCCCCCCGCCCCAAAAAAAAAAAAAAGATTCCAAAAGATGAAGTTACAAGTGTGCTTCTCAGAACAGGAGCATTCATTCCACTTCATACTCTGGCTTCTCCAGCTTCTAGCTTCGAAAGAGTCTTCCCCTCAGCTGGCACAGAGAGGTTCATATGGGCACTTGGGCTTGGTGCACCTTGAGCTCTGGGGGTCGAGGGGCAGGCTGTAGTGTGGGGGCGAGGGGAGCCACACTCATCCGAGGTGATGTCTGGCACATCGTCTGACTGTGTATCAGAGCTCTCCAGGTCACTGCGGATGCTCTCGGGTTGGGCCAGGCTGATGTCCCAAGGTTTGCTGGCCAGGCAGTCTTTCTGTTCACAGCTTTGGTGTTTGCAGGAGGGGTCTTCTTCATTACTGCCACTGCTGCCGCCACCACTACTTTCTTCTTCATTCTCCGCCATCTGAGCATGAACATGGAGTGAGTCCTCTGTGCTGCTCCCACTAACCAGCTGATAATGGCTTGGTTTGGCTTCAATGTCCACTTGGATTTCCATATTGTTACATTCTCTGTGGAGACAAAAATCCAATCCTGAGTCAGGCAGAGGTCATACTATACCTGTTGGTAAAAGCAGTTAGTGGGTTCAGGATTAGGAAGTCTAAAGCACAGGTAAACAATAGGGTAGATCACACTTTTAGCGCCACCCCCCCAAAAAAAATTCACCTAATACTCAAATAATATAAATAATTTGACCTTTTTATGTGTGGGATGGGGTTGGGCCACACCAGGCAATGCTCAGGAGTTACTCCTGGCTCTGCACTCAGGAATCACTACTGCAAGTGCTCAGAAACCATATGGAATGCTGGGCATTGAACATGAGTTGACTATGTTCAAGGCAAATGCCTAACCACTGTACTATGGCTCCAGCCCCATAATTTGATCCTTTTTATTTAAAATACACACCCTGGGTTTGGAGCACAGCAGGTAGGGCATTTGCCTTGCACAATGGCTGGCCCAGGTTTGATCCCTGGCACCTCATATGATCCTCTGAGCCCACCAGGAGTGATCCCTGAGTTCAGAGCCAGAAGTAAGCCCTGAGTACTGCTAGGTGTGGCTCCCGGGTAACAAAATAAAACAAATCACATACACCTCTGCCAGTGTCTTGAAACAACAAAAAGCTTCCAAAATTCAGAGAAGAACCAGAGCCTCAGACTATCTCACTCAAATATGAAAATGATAGAAGATTCAAAGCTTCTTACTACTATGCCACAATAAAGCAAGAAGAATCTCTCCAGAAGGCCATCTTATACTCACACCATACCAGATACACAAGCTTTTTTAAATTAACAGAAAAATAGGTTGAGGGAGACACATCATGGAAAGGGGGACAAAAGAGCAGAAACCATGGACCCATAAACTTCGGTAAACACCAATTTAGCCCCTTTGGCTCTACGTGAACAATTATACTGCAGCAATAGCTAAGAAAAGAGAGAGGAAAGAAGAATGGAGAAAAGAAATAAGTGCTGATGAGAATCAAGTGCTCAAGAGATGCTACTCCTACACAAAGAACCTGCTCTATGATTCACAGATAAGACACTACAGACCCACTGGATGGTACATGAGGCCTTCACATGAGGCAAGCTTCTTACAGCTGTCTGCCCAAACAAAAGAACGCAACCTTCCCTGAACATCTGACTGTTCACATACCTGTCCTGTGGGTTGTAGGAACTGATAATGGAACCGGCCATAGCACGAGTACTTGCGTTGTCACTAATTGCACCAAGACTGGCTGTGTCTTTGGGGAAAATTTCCTTTTGGACATCGGCTTGGACTTCTAACCTGTGTAAAGAGGGGACGTTTAAGTTAATATGAGACCTGGGTATTCTGAGACAGTCTCCTCCCTTGGCACACATCTCTCTTCTATTTTTCTCTTGTGATTTAAAAGTTGATATGCTCTTCAGTTATCAAATTGTTCCGAAAATGGCCACACATTTTGTCTTTTAAATATCTACTGAAATCGTCCCCTCCTCTCTACCCCCACTGCTACTGCTTAACTTAGGCCACCAACATCTCCTGTCTGGATAACCGCAACTGGGCTCTCCAGCAGTCCTAGACGCAAATTAAAGAACTTCCAGATCAGTGCCAATGTGAACAAAGACCTGATCACTTTAATCATCCTCTCATGCCTCTCTCCTGCCAACGGGTCTTCTGAACTGTCTCCAAGCTCTCCGTCCAGCTGCATCTCTCACTAAATTGTAGTCACCAGAACTTTTTTCCTTACACACCAATACACATTTTATTACTCCATGGCTTTTGCACATGCTATTTCTTCCCTGTAGAAGTTTTCCTTCTCTATATGACAAACTCATACTCTGTTTTTAACAATGGAAATACCTTCCCCAACTCTCCCAGCAAACCTGTCACTTCATGCTAAGTGCTCCTACAGCAATTACCTACTTATTATGTCAATTTACCCATCTCTCTTACTCATCTGTGAGTTAAAAAAAAAAAAGACCATATATCACCATTCAAGCTTTATGCTCCTTGTCTTACACATGGAGAAACTCAAACATTAGCGATCAGATTGCTCCAGGCTATGAGATTACAGGACATATAGATCACTTCCTAAAAGAGCAGCAAACTTTCCCCGTGGTGTCTCAGGGCTGAGAGGCTCTAACTATTTCCTTTCTTGGCTCCAACACCATTTTGTTGCATTCTTAAGCATTTCCTCATAATGGGTTTCACAGTCAAACCCATCTGACTCATTTACTTCCTATAAAAGGCTTTCACAGAACTGGAACAGCTGGACTGGCTAAGCTGCAGTTTCAGCAAGTCAGTCTCCAATTACGTCTGTCTGCTTCTTTCCAGGGGTGTTGGTTTTAAGAAAGCACAGCAGTGAATTCTCCCGTATGTGGGGGCGGGATCCCCTAACAAGAGACAGCCCGTCATGAGACAGAGCAGGTCAGCAGCAGCCTGCAGCTGCACTGGCACACACCCTCCAGCCTGCCACCTGTGCTGCTGCTTTGCTTTTCCAGCCTCGTAGGACTTCAAGGATGCCGCGGCCCATGAAAATGAGGTAGTGCAATACAAAATGCATCACGTCAGCGAGTTGGGTTCTAGTTTTCTTTTCCACAGAACCACACTCAGACATGAAGAAGTCTTTCATAAAGGCCATCGACTTAGGTAGTTCCCAAATGCTAGTCTGTGCAATGACTGTGCTAGAATTCTCTGGGATTTCTTTCTTTCTTTTTTTTTTTTAAATCCTTCAAATAGTCTGGTCTCACTTTAAATACTTTCAGAGAAAGGAAGCTCAGTATTTACACTAAAGTATGCCATTGCTGGGGTTAGAGAGATATACAGCGGGTAAGGTGCTTGCCTTGCATGTGGCTGACATGGATTCAACCCCTGACACCCTATGTGGTCCACAATGTCCAGCCAGGAGTAAGCCCTGAGCACCACCAAGTGTACTCTAAAAAAAATCCAATTGTGACACAACAACAATAAAGCAAACCATTTCTTCTTCTTCTTTTTTTTTTTGTTGTTGTTGTGTCACACTGGGTGATGCACAAGGGTTACTCCTGGCTCATGCACTCAGGAATTACTTCTGGCGGGACTTCTGGGGGGACCATATGGGATGTTGGGAATCGAACCTGGGTCGGCTGTGTGCAAGGTAAACACCCTACCCGCTCTGCTATCGCTCCAGCCCTCTTCTTTTGTATTTTTATACAGAACTTCCCCTATATTCAACCCGAAGTAATCTTCCCTTTATTGTTTCTGTCAGTTCATTTTAATCTTACACTCCTTGGGTGAAGTCAGAAATCTAATCCTTTCTTGCCCTTCAAAGCCCTTCAGCTATCTAAAGACAGCCATCTTCGCCACTCAATGCCTCTTCTGCAAACCACAGCACCCAAAAGGAGAGAGAGAGAGCAAAAGGGAATACCCTGCCACAGAGGCAGGGTGGGATGGGGGGGATGGGAGGGTGGGAGGGATACTGGGATCATTGGTGGTGGAGAATGGGCACTGGTGGAGGGATGGGTACTCGGATCATTGTATAACTGGAACCCAAGCACAAAAATCTGTAAGTCTACAACTGTACCTCATGGTGTTTCACTAATAAAGATTTAAAAAAATAAAATAAAAAAATGAAGAATCAGGCATAACCATAAAAAAAAAAGACAGCCATCTTCCACCTCCCCCTCAACCTATCTTGATTTGCTCCACCTTTACCCTACCTCAGTTTTTCTCCTGCATTACACTGTTTCTGATGCAACATGCACAGTTTTTTTTTTTTAGTGAAAAAACTTTACATATTCTGGGCTCCTGGCACTTACTAGGAGGTATTCTTTGCACTGACAATAGAAAGAGGCAGGTCAGAGATCAAAGAGACAGCAGGTAGGGCGCTTGCCTTGCATGAGGCCAACACTGGTTCAGTCCCCAACATCCCATATGGTCCCCCAAACCTGCAAGGAGTTATTCCTGAATGCAGAGCCAGGTGTAACTCCTGAGCACCACTGAGGTGGCGAGGGGAAAGAAGAAGAAACGGACATATGAAGGAAGGAAGGAAGGAAGGAAGGAAGGAAGGAAGGCAGGCAGGCAGGCAGGCAGGCAGGCAGGCAGGCAGGCAGGCCAGACCAGTAAATCCATTGCATATACACCTCAGTATATGGAGTGATGCTTGATCTGTACTGTTAATGGAGGGACATAAAAAAAAAAATCTTTACATCCTTTATATCCTCAAGTTCAAAGAACTGATTTTCCTTATCTGTAAAGTGTAATAGGAATAGGAAGATATTTAAGGATCAGAGCACTAATAAATCAATAAGAAAGCCAGTGACATGCCAAAGGGAGAATATGTATGTGGCTTTGTATGTGTCCCTTTCCTAAAGGAAGTAAGCTAAGGTGGTACGTGTGGGTGGGATTTAAAGCCAAGGCTATTTTTTTGTTTATTTTTAGGTCACACCCAGTCATGCCTAGGACTTACTCCTGGCTCTGAGCTTAGGGATCACTGCTGGTAGACTCAGGGGACCATATGGGATGCCAGAAGTCATATGCAAGGCAACTGCCTTATCCTCTGTACTATCTCTCCAGCCCCCAAGGTCATACTTTATATGGGGTTACTGTGGCACAGGAGAGAGGACACAAAACTTTGGGCAAGTCACTGAGTCTTTCTTTTCCTTCCTTTCTATTTTTTTTTTTTTACTTTTTGGGTCACACCATGCGATGCACAGAGGCTACTCCTGGCTCAGCACTCAGGAACACTCTTGGTGGTGCTCAGGGAATCGAACTCGGGTCGACCGCATGCAAAGCAAATGCCCTACCCGTTGTGCTATTGCTCCAGCCCCTGTCACTTAGCCTTTCTGATTCTGTTTTCTAACTATGAAAGTAGAAGGAAAGAGCATTAATGATTAAGTAAAAATAAGATAATTTATGTCTGACACATGCATAGCACAAAATAATGGCCTTATAGGTATGCTTCATATAGTTTAAACTGGATCTGTCAGAAATGATCTACCTACTTACCTGCTGTATTTTCCCTTGCCACTGGAAAGAATGCCACCACTCAATGTGCCCCCCGAGAGGGCTGCAAAACTGGCTGTTTCACTGTATGGGCCCTGCATAACACTGAGTCCATCTGTAGGGCTTCCACTGGTGCTCAGCACACTTGTCAGGCCTTCAATGCTGCTTTCCCCAATGCTGGGATTCTTGAGGGCTCGCCAGGCATCTGCCACTGGGGATGGAACCAAGTATCTCAATTCAAGATAGCACAGCATCAAAACAGTCTGGCATTTTCCTGTAATGACTCTTCAAAGTGGAGGATATTATGTAGAAAAAAATACTTATTCACATAATGAACAGATACTATGTATAGCTACTAACATCAAGTGTTTTAACATGTTTATATTTGATCTTCCCAATAACTAGGCATTAATAACTCCAATTTTATTTATTTGGCTTTGAGGTCACACCTGACTGTGCTCAGGGCTAACTCCTGGTGGATCAGAAGAGGTGTTAGAGATTGAACCAGAATTGGATGCATGCAAGGCAAACACCTTAAACCGCAGACTATATCTCCAAATTAATTTTATTCAATGATTTTATTATTTGTTTTTTGGGCCACACCTGGCAGTGCTCAGGGCTTACTCCTGGCTCTGCATTCAAGGATCATTCCTGGTGGGTTCAGAGGCCATATGAGATGTCAGGATTCAAACCCAGGTTGGCCACATGCCAGTAAAACACCATATCTACTACACTATCCCTCCAGCCCTGCTTGCTCATGTTTAAAGGAGGAAACAAAAGCTTAGAACTAAATTACTTGTTTAAGGTCATGGTTTATCAACCAAACCCCTGGCTAGTCACCCAAAACTATTATAAACTACAGTTTTGAACTCACTTCTCTTTTTTGTTTTGTTTGGGGCCACAACTGGCAGTGCTCAGGGCTAATTCCTGGCTCTGCACTCAAGGATCACTCCTGGCGGGCTTGGGGGTGGGGCAGGGGGCCCATATGAGGTGCCGGGGACCAAATCTGGGTCAGATGGTGCAAGGCAAGCACTCTATATGCTTACTATTGCTTCTGCCCTTGAATTCACTATTCTTTTGTTTTTATGACACCTTGGTAGTACTCAGGGCTACTCCCAGTTCTGTAGCTGTATTCAGGGGTCTCTCTGGGCAGTGCTTGAGAGAGCATACAGTGCCAGAGATGGGATCCAGACTTCCCTCATGCAACGCATGCAGCTGCCTTTTAAGTTATCTCTCTGGGCCTGAGTACATTATTCTTTCCATTACACTGTAGATACCATCTAATCAAAATGAAGATTTTAAAATAAGTTTGGGGGCTGGAGATGTGGCTGAGTGGTAGAGCACATGCCTGGCATGTGTGAGGTAGTGAGTTTGACTCCCAGCACCATTTAAAAAAAAGGCAAAACAGCATTATGTTTAGCTTATGTAATGTAGAATGTTTGAAAAATCACTGAAGGTCTCTGTGTGCCTTAATATGGTGAAATGAAAAAGACATCAAAGTAGATGTCAAAGACCTGCTCTAGTCACCTAGTTCTATAGCAACTCTTAGAGCCATTGAACAGATATTGAGACCAAAGCTTAGAGAAGCTCTCATTAGCTGGGACTAATAATAACTTCTGCCCTCCCTCTTCAGAGAACTGTTGTAAAAAGCAAGTGAGATAATAACTGTGTAAGGTCCTCTGAAAATTATAAAGCACTGTGCGGATATAAGACTATTATAATCACTACTATTACCAGCATACTTGGAGTTATTTGAAGTCTTACTAGTTTGTACCTGCCACACAGTGGCAAGTACCAGAGGAATTAACCTAATAACTCTAGAACAAAAAAATGAAATACTAAAAATACTTCACCCCCTACAAAATTCATTATCCAGAGAAATCTAATGACAGTCTCTATAAAATGTGCTGGATTTTACTGATCTCTGTGTCCCGTATATCCAAAGGGAAACAAAAGTCCTTTTTTACCTGTGATTGGACCATCATCTTCATCAAACTCAATTTTCACTCCCTTTCCATTGGCTGTGCTAACTCCACAGCCGCCACCACGACAGAGAGAAATGGGCACAACCCCATAGACATATGCCAGCATAATGGGGACACCAATACCTGTGGGAAGAGAAGAAAACATGTCAGCAGGTCACCAGCCTCAACTGCCCTCAATTCTTCATAGTGTGAGCACAAACCACTTTAAAAAGGGCAAAGGCGCAACAGAAGACAGCTAGTTATCCCAAAGAGGACCAGTGTAAGAGAACGAATGATGGCTGAACTTATAATCACAAAGTCCCCGATTAGGAGTCTGGTTCCAATTTACAGCCATATAACCTTGGACATATCTTCCCAGGACTGTCAGTAATCAAAGGGAATATATATGCACTACCCAGCACACCTTTCATTTTTTTCTCCTCCTATTCACCACTGAGGTGCCAAATCCACAAAGGATCAAAAAGCAAACATTAAATAAGTAAAATCTAGGGTTTGAGATCTAAAACCTGAAGAATATTCATTGTGGAGTGTTAATTATAAATTGTTACTGCTGTGAGAGACAGAAGGGCTCAGCTGCTAAGAACACAGATTTGGAAGCAAGACTGCCTTGATTCTTGTTACAGCAAAGTCACCTTGGTCATGAGTGTATCTTTCTGTTAAAATTGTAGACTGGCTGGAGATAGTAAGGAGGTTAGTTAAGACACTCACCTTGCATGTAGCTAACCCCAGTTTGATTCCTGGAATTTTATGGTACCCCAACCACACCAGGTATGGTCCAAAACTCTAACAAGTCCCCACAAAAATAAATAAATAAATAAATAAAGCTGCTGTTAGGATTACATGAATTAATATATGCAAAACACTAGAACTGCTCCTGGCACATGAAGTGCCTCAATATTAGCTGCATTATTATTATTATTATTGTTATTATTCTGAAACAAAATCTCAAGCTTTCTAAAATGCTCAGGCATTAAAATTAATTTTGTAGATTCCATGACAAATGGACACAAAAGATGAAAGTAAAAAACTACACCTTAAAATTTTAAATTCTGTCTTCTATTCTGTACCAGACTGAACTCTAGTTACTAATGTAAGAATGAAAGATCCTAATTTTGTAATTTAGTAGCACTGTAGCACTATCTTCCTGTTGTTCATCGATTCGCTCAAGCGGGCACCAGTAACGTCTCCATTGTGAAACTTGTTTTTACTGTTTTTGGCATATCAAATACGTCACAGGTAGGTTGCCAGGCTTCGCCATGCGGGCACGATACTCTCGGTAGATTGCCGGGCTCTCTGAGAGGGGCGGAGGAATTGAACCCAGGTCGGCTGCATGCAAGGAAAACGCCCTACCCGCTGTGCTATTGCTCCAGCCCTTGATAATTTAGTATGGCTGATAATTATAATAATGACAAACAGTTAACTACCAAGGTGGATGGCTTAAATTGTAGGAGTTTGCAGGGTAAAACATCTGGCCAGCTGGCTCAACTGCTATAGTTGGAGAGTTTGGAGACTAGTGGGCGGTGAGGGAGATAGACAGGAAAGAGAGGGGGAGAGAGGAGTGATCCTGGCTCACTTACCAACACTAACTGCTGCAATAACTGGGGATGCAATGACTGACAAGGTTACCCCTCCTGTGATGGCCAAATTCCTCTTATGTTTGGAGGTTTTCCTTCCCTCATATCTGCTGTGAATCTAAGAATTAAAGAAGTCCAGATTAGCAGGTTCAGACATTAATCGCATTTCACTAAGAAAAAAAGGGCTGAGACTTATTCTTTAAAAGTTATCTATGTTAAAATGTATCTCTTAGTCTAACACATCATTTTCAAATTTTAACCTAACTCTGGCCCGGAAGACGTAATCTAAGAGACGAAAGAACACACAAAATAACTCTGGGGAGTGAAGTAAGCATTTCACCTTTAAATCATGGAGACAAACCCAGGTGCAGAACGTTAATAAGAACTTTCAGATCCCTTAGGGGTTTATGATGGTCCATTTAAGAAATTAAGGCTATTTTTATCCAAGAGTCAGCAGCTTTTCAGAGATCAGTTCTGACATAAAATCTCCTCCCTATTTCCTTCAAACCATTATCAACAAACCTGAAGAAGGAACATGCACAGAAATCAGCATGTCTTACCTTTCTGCCAACATACACAGGAATGCCAATGACCATGGCAGGGATGGCAATGCCAGCAATGAGAGAAATCCCCACTGGAGCACCAATTAATGTGCCCAACTGCCAAAGAATTTTCTTCTTGCGGCTCCATGGTTTCTTGCCCCAGAATGTGCAGCCAGAGGGACTACAGAGGAAACACAATGAAGTTAATGTTAATATTACAACGTAGTTTTGTCACTATGTTTTGAGAAGCATCTCAGCCCTTTTTTTCTTAGTGAAATGCGATTAATGTCTGAACCTGCTCATCTGCACTTCTTTAATTCTTAGATTCACAGCAGATGTGAGGGAAGGAAAACCTCCAAACATAAGAGGAATTTGGCCATCACAGGAGGGGTAACCTTGTCAGTCATTGCATCCCCAGTTATTGCAGCAGTTAGTGTTGGTAAGTGAGCCAGGATCACTCCTCTCCCCCTCTCTTTCCTGTCTATCTCCCTCACTGCCCACTTCTCAATCAGAATCTTCTTCTCTGAAACACCACTGACCAAGCAAGTGGAAAAAAACATAAACAAATGGGACTACTACTTCTAAAACTAAGAAGCTTCTGCACCTCAAAAGAAACAGTGACCAAAATACAGAGAGAGCCCATGGAATGGGAAAAAATATTTACCCCATACACATCAGATAAGAGGTTAATTATTATTCAGGATATACAAGACATTAGTAGAATTGTACAAGAAAACACCATCAAAAAATGGGGAGAAGCAGTGACAAGTCACGCAGGGCCTCAGGGAATGGGGATGGAGCTGGCCCTTTCCTCCCCATCCCAACAAGACCCCGAGTCGCAGCCCACTAACGGTCTCTCTGGCTCCTGATCACGCTGCTAAATGGCCATGATCCCTGAGACTCAGGAACAAATTTCGGAACCCAGCAGGTTTTGGCAGAAATCCCTCCAGATTTAATTGTTAAAACTTCGGAATTTCAAAATCGCATGGCTACTACTGCAGCCGCACGACATCATATGTTATTCATAACCAGCAATAGAAAACAAATTGTTTACTGTTGCCTTTTTGACAGATTCGAGTATTGGGATAAAATCCCAAATAATAATGGTGGGTCTGGTGTCAAAATATTGAATGTGATCAAAGTAGAGAGAGAGTATTGTGGAGGTCATCTGCCCCATAGGATGGGGTTATACTGGGGTTTTTGGTGGTGGAGAATGGGCACCGGTGAAGGTACAGGTGTTTCACTGTATGATCAAGACTTAGACCTGAAAGCTTGGCAACTGCTCTCACAGTGATTCAATAAATAAAATTATAAAAAATGAAAAAAAAAAAGTAAGGTGGAGTTCACGCCCAATTCAATCAGCCTAATCAGTGGCTGAATAAATAGCAGTACTCCTACATTTAAAAAAAATGGGAAAAGAAATAAACAGACGCTTCCTCAAAAAAGAAATACATCCTTCACGCCCTACCGAGGTCACCAGTTGCCCCCCACGAGCGGCTCTCCAGCACGGCCACAGCCCCAGAAGCACAAGGACTTAATGCAGAACCCAGCAGCTTGGAGCAGAAAAGTGAAAGGACTATGCATTAATCCAGGCCATCATGTCTGCCCGGAGGGGAAAGGGTGTTGCTCCCTTCCGCCCTCCTCCCTCTGGAAAGAAAGATGGCGGCCACATGGGAGCCTTGTAGACAGCAAGTATGAGCCGGGGGTGTGGGGGCGACTAAAACCTCATGGGTCAGGGGGCGTTCCGGTCCGTCCTTCACGCCCTACCGAGGTCACCAGTTGCCCCCCGCGAGCGGCTCTCCAGCACAGCCACAGCCCCAGAAGCACAAGGACTTAATGCAGAACCCGGCAGCTTGGAGCAGAAAAGTGAAAGGACATGTGTTAATCCAGGCCATCAAGTCTGCCGGAGGGGAAAGGGTATTGCCCCATTCGCCCTCTCCTCTCTGGAAAGAAAGATGGTGGCCGCATGGGAGCCTTGTGGACAGCAGGTATGAGCCGGGGGTGTGGGGGCGGCTAAAACCTCATGGGAAGGGGGGCGTTTCGGTCTGCCCTTCACGCCCTACCGAGGCCACCAGTTGCCCCCCACGAGCGGCTCTCCAGCACGGCCACGACTCCAGAACACAGAAACCAATTTCTTAGCTATCTGACTTTCAGTAGAAATACTTCCAGGGTCAATAGGTAAAATAGCAGAAATCCAAAACCAACATTTAATTCTTGAACCCAGCTGTAGAAAGCAAATCACTTCACAATGCTTTTTCAGCATGTCTGATTTGGGGGGTGGGGTAAATTCTAAATAATAGTGGTGAATCTTTTATTGAAACAGTGAATCTAATCAAAGCAGATTGAGTGTTAACTAGAATTCATCTGCCTCACAGGGACTGGGAGGGGTAGGGGGTGAGGTTTTATTGGGGTTCTTCATGGTAAAAAATAAGTATTGGTAAAGGGAAATGTGTTTGATATTTGCATGACTGAGACCTAAACCTGAAAGCTTTGTAATCTTTCCCACTGTGATTCAATAAAAAAAAAAAAAAAGGAATACAATTGGCCAAAAGGCACATGAAAAAAATGCTCTACATCACTAATCATCAGAGAGATGCAAATCAAAACAACAATGAGATATCATCTCACACCAGATATTGGCACACATCAAAAAGAACAAGACCAACCAGTGCTGGCATGGATGTGGGGAGAAAGGGAGTCTCTTTCATTGTTGGTGGGAATTCCGACTGGTCCAGCCTCTTTAGAAAACAATTCAGGCATTTCTTAAAAAACTAGAAATTGAGGGGCTGGAGCCATAGCACAGCGGATAGGGCATTTGCCTTGCACGCAGCCAACCCGGATTTGATTCCCAGCATCCCATATGGTCCCCTGAGTACCGCCAGGAGTAACTCCTGAGTGCAGAGCCAGGAGTAACCCCTGTGCATTGCCAGGTGTGACCCAAAAAGAAAAAAAAAAACCACTAGAAATTGAGCTTCCATATGACCCAGCAATACAACTTCTGGTAATATATCTCGAGGGTGCAAAAAAGCACAGTAGAACCACACAATAGAATACTATGCAGCTGGTAGGAAAGATGAAGTCATGAAATTTGTTTGTAAGTGGATGGTTGTGGAGAGTATCATGCTAAGTGAAATGAAACAGAAAGAGAGGGACAGACATAGAAGGACTGCACTCATTTGTGGAATATCACTTAATCACTTAATCACTTAACTTCCCGTTAGTCGTCGATTTGCTCGAGCGGGCGCCAGTAACGTCTCCATTTGTCCCTGTCGCGTGCTAGTGTAGCCCAATGGCATCTCTTCGCTCCGGGAACATGGAGGGCCTCAAACCGATCGTTCATGATCTTGACAAAGAAGTCTGACCATCTGGTAGGTGGGCGGCCACGCGGTCTCTTGACATCCCGTGGAATCCAATCAGTAACAGCTCTAGTCCAACGGTCGTCTTTAAATCTCATTACGTGACCAGCCCATCTGATTTTCGACACCTTGGCATATGAGACAGCGTCCCTGATCCTTGATCGTCGACGGATGTCAGAACTCCGGATTCGTTCTCTCATTTGAGTGAAACGTGTTATTCCAAGCATAGCTCTTTCTATTCTTCTTTGGGAGACCTGAATGGCGTTCTCATCTTGTTTGCGTAGGGCCCAGGTCTCTGAGGCATATGTTAATGCAGGAAGAACAGTGGAATCAAAGAGATGTGCCCGGAGCCGGAGGTTCTTCGTCCTCTTAGCTATTTCTTCGACGTTCTTGAAGGCGTTCCAAGCCGCTCTCTTCCTCCTGCGCAGCTCGGGTGCCAGGTCATTTCTCATGTTGACCTCTCGACCTAGGTACACATAGCTGTTGCATTCGGAGATGGTCGTTCCATTGAGAGCGAATGGGGCGTCAGGAACAAGGCTGTTTCTCATAAACATTGTCTTCGTAAGATTCAGCTGTAGTCCTACCTTTCCACACTCATGGTCAAAGTCGGCCAGCATTTGTGCCGCTTGGCTGATGTTTGGTGTTATTAAAACAATGTCATCAGCAAAGCGGAGGTGGTGTAGTTGCCGACCATCTATCTTCACTCCCATTCCTTCCCATTCCAGTCGTCGCATGATGTTCTCGAGGGTGGCACTGAAGAGTTTCGGTGAAATGGTATCACCCTGCCACACCCCTCTCTTGACATCAACGATCACTTCTTTGTAGAATGGTGAGATCCTGGTAGTGAATCCGCAATACAGCTCACGGAGGATCCTGATGTATTGGGCTTGAATGCCCTGATTGGCTAGGGCTTCAATGACCGCTTCCGTCTCAACAGAATCAAAGGCCTTCTTTAAATCAATGAACGTTAAGCAGAGCGGCATCTTGAACTCCCGAGAAACCTCAATGAGCTTGGTTACCGTGTGGATATGGTTGATGGTGCTGAATCCTTTGCGGAACCCTGCTTGCTCGCATGGTTGTCCTTCATCTAGTGTTCTGCCAATCCTATTCAGGATGACTCGAGTGAACAGCTTGTAGATGACAGACAATAGGCAGATCGGGCGATAGTTGCCAATGTCATGGATGTCTCCCTTCTTGAACAGTAGTACGGTCCTGCTGGTTTTCTTTGTGGAATATAAAATATCATAATACGAGACTAACACCCAAGGATAGTAGAGACAGGGCTAGGAAGAAAACTCCATGGTTGGAAGCCTGCTTTATGAGCTGGGGGAGAGGGCAGCTGGGATAGAGAAGGGATCACTAAGTTAATGACAGCTGGAGAAATTGTTCGGGATGGGAGATGTGTGCTGAGTATATAAAGTATATAAAGAACCAAATGTCATAGCCTCTCAGTATCTATACTGCAAACCATAATACTCAAAAGTAGATTGAGAGAGTATGGGGGAAGTTGTCTGCCATAGAGACAGGAGGAGGGTTGGGAAGGGGCAGGGGATACTGGGGACATTGGTGGTGAAAAATGTGTACTGGTGGAGGAATGGGTGTTCGATCATTGTATGACTGAAACTCAAACATGAAAGCTTTGTAACTGTAGATTTCAAACATCACTGAAACTCAAACATGAAAGCTTTATAACTGTAGCTCACGGTAATTCAATAAAAAAGAATTAAAAAATTGAAAAAAGGATAATGATGACACACACACAAAAGTCTTCTCAATAGGAGTGATTAAGTTACAAGAAGTTATAGGAAATGACTAGATTATATAATGGGGAGGCAAAGGACAAAGCCAGACTATTTAGAGCTCTACGTTCTTCACCTGCTTTTTGGATTAAAGCACACTCAAAGCCTCTTCTCCCACCCTCCTATCTTTTTCGGTGAACCCTGTCCTCTCTAACCCTGACTCTGATTCAGCTTCTTTGACTCCTAACTGAACTATTAAACTGCCTACTTTAGTATATTAATTTGCTGGCCCGGCCACGCCGAGTTCGATTCCTCCGCCTCTCTTGTAGAGCCCGGCAAGCTCCCCGTGACGTATTCGATATGGCAAACACAGTAACAACAAGTTTCACAATGGAGACGTTACTGGACCCGCTCGAGCAAATCGATGAACAATGGGAGGACAGTGCTACAGTGCAGTGCTACTTGAGTAGGCAAGTGCACTGAAGGTAACCACACTCTGATTCAGCAAATCATATTCCAGGGAGAGAATTTCAAAAACACATTGGCTTCATATTTCTCCCTTACTCTTCTTCCCTCTTTCCTTCCTTTCCTTTTTTTTTTTATTTTTTTTTTTTTGGTTTTTGGCCACACACTGCTCTGTGTTCAGGGATCACGCCTGAAGATATGGGGAAACATATGGGAATCAAACCAAATTCTACCACATGCAAGACAAGTGCTTTACCAGGTATACTTTCTCTCTGGCCCCTCTTTCGTCACATTGTTATGTGAAATTTTGACTCAGAGTTTACCAACTTATTTTTGTGTTTGAATCACACCCGCAGGTGCTCAGGGCTTACTTCAAGCAGTGCTCAGGGGATTTATGTGGTACTTGGTATGAAGGTCAGGCAAGCACTTTAACCCTTGTACTATCTCTCTGGTCCCAGGTTTGACTATTCTAATAGCCAGTTCTTCTGTGTCTGTCCAAGAATTTCTGCTTCGTCCCTTTGTTTCATCTTCTCTACCAGGTAAAATACGCAATTAGAAGGAGGGGTTCGGGGCTGGAGCAATAGCACAGCGGGTAAGATCTTTGTCTTGCATGCAGCCAACCCAGGTTCGATTCCCAGCATCCCATATGGTCCCCTGAGCACCGCCAGGGGTGATTCCTGAATGCAGAGCCAGGAGTAACCCCTGTGCATCGCCAGGTGTGACCCAAAAAGCAAAAAAAAAAAAGAAGGAGGGGTTCATGCCTATTCACCATTTTCCAATAACCAGTACAGTGTAAGTATTAAAACGATGCTTAATTAGAAAGTACTTCATCCAGATTAACATTTCCCAAATTGATAAATTTATAAATATTATTAACTCTTTTAAGAGAATATTTAAATATTATTCAATGACTTCTCTGGAAAGTCTTGAAAGTTAGGTAATAAAATGGTAATGCCAGCCTTAAGAAAATTCAAGTTTTGGCTTCAGCATTGGTACAGCAGGTAGTGTGCTTGTCTGATAAGCAGCCAACCTTGCACTCCATATGGTCCCCAAGGCGGCAAAGAGTGAACTCTGAGGGGCTGGAGTGATAGTACAGTAACAGGATGCTTGCCTTGCAAATGACCAAATGGGGTGTGATCCCCAGTATCCTATACGGTCCCCCGAGCACCACCAGGAGTGATCCCTGAGTGCAGAGCCAGAAGTAAGCCCCACGGACTATCAAGTGTGGCACCCAAAACAAAAAAAGAGCAAGCCCTGAACATAGCTAGGGTGTGCCCCACAACTGCTCCCCCCAAAAAAAAGAACATTCAAGTTTAGTAAAATTAGAGATGTGTATCTAGTAAAAGTAGCATGGTGCTTAACATTAAAGTAATGTCAATAAAGTATGAAGCAGGAAAAGCTGGGGAAGGTGGTCACATACAGAAATGCTGCAGAGCAGCGGTGAAATCTGAGAACATGCACTATCATCCTTTCTACTGTCTCTGATAGATGACATTCAAGTGACCCTTTAAGAGTAGGGAAGAACTGAGACTGCTACAAATTAGTGGGGATGAAGTTACTAAAATCGTTGCAGGCAAGGAGAGATGATGAGCAAATGCAGAGGAAAGAATAGAAAAGAGGCACAGGAACAGCAAGCTCAAATTACCTAACTATCCACGTGAAACAAAATGGCAAAAGGAGAAAGGGAGGTTTGGGGCCGGGCTGCAGAAAGCCTTAAAATCATGCTGGGAAAACAACTCTATCTGGAAGGTAACGGGAACGGTCCTTGGAGACTGCTAAACTGGAAGATGACGAGCAGAAAGAGCTTCAGAGGAACTTTTAAATGTTTCCTTAAATAGAAATGAGAAGATAATTGTGTCTTATTTTACATCCTTTCCCCTAAATCAGTAAGAGAAAAATAAATATAAAAAGCAATGGACAGGGCGGCAGGGACCTCATGGGAAGGGGGGTGTTCTGGGCCGTCCTTCACGCCCGACCGAGGTCACCAACTGCCCCCCACGAGCGGCTCTCCGGCACAGCCACGGCCCCGGAAGCACAAGGACTTAGCACAGAAAGCCACCCGCTTGGAGCAGAAAAGCAAATGGACTATGTGTTAAACCGCACCAGCATGCCTGCCCGGAGGGGAAAGGGTGTTGCCCCATTCGCCCAATCCTCTCTGGAAAGAAAGATGGCGGCCGCACGGGAGCCTTGTGGACAGCAGGTTTGAGCCGGGGGTGGGGGTGGCAGGGACCTCATGGGAAGGGGGGCGTAATGGGCCGTCCTTCACGCCCTACCGAGGTCACCAGCTGCCCCCCACGAGCGGCTCTCCGGCATGGCCACGACTCCAGAGCACAGAAACCAATCTCTTAACTATCTAACTTTTAATAGAAATACTTCCGGGGTTAATAAGTAAAATAGCAGAAATCCAAAACCGCGTGGCCTCGCGACATCATTTTATTCTTAAACCCAGCTGTAGAAAGCAAATCATTTCACAAGGCTGTTTCAGCATGTCTGATTGGGGGGGGGGGGGGGGTCGTAAACTCTAAACAATAATGGTGCATCTTCTATCGAAACAATGTATCTAGTCAAAGTAGATAGAGTATTAACTAGAACTCATCTGCCTCACAGGAATTGGGAGGGGTGGGAGGTGGGGTTCTATTGGGGTTCGTGGTTAAAAATAAGTATTGGTAAAGGGAAATGTGTTTGATATTTACATGACTGAGACCTAAACCCGAAAGCTCTGTAACTTTTCTCACAGTGATTCAATAAAGAAATAAATTATAAAAAAATAAAAAAAATAAAATCTCAAGTAAAGATTTTCCAAACATTATAATAAAAGAAAGAGATCGTGAAAAAAAAAAAAGCTATGGACACATTTCTCAACCCACCTGAGGTAATGCAAGTCTGAGATCTCTTTCATACAAAGCCAACAGAATTCACAGCCACACACTGCACAGGTCATATGGTTGCAGCTTCCATCATTCATCTTAATAATGTAAGCACTGCATCGTGGGCATGGCTTGATGTCATCTGTTAAGAAGGAAGAAAAGAATGGATAGAAAAATAACCCAAATTAAACCAACTTTCGTTTTTATTATTCCTAGAAAAAAAGAAATGAGGCAGAGAAAAACAACTAAGGACAACCCATTTCTCTGGAAGGCTGGCTCTCAAGACCTTAGGAAATTTCGGATCGTGAATCCTGTCTTATATTAAGCTGCCTAATCTCCAAACTGGCATCATATACAGAACTACACTCTGAGCAGGGAACTTTCGCTAGAGAGAAAAGCAGCTGTAAGAAAACTGGAGTCCTTACAGGAAAACAGCCAGTAGAAGTCCTAAAGTTAGAATAGTCTCAAGAATGGCTTTGTTTTGAAATACTTTAGCCCAAAAAAACTAATTTTTCAAGCTAAATAGTATTATTATGATTTATTAATATAATCTACAATCCCTTTCTATAATCCTTTATTATTTTCTTCTACCAGATTTAGGGGGAAAAGGAACTTGGGCTACACCTGGCTGTGCTCAGGGCTTATTCCTGAGTGTTCAAGGGGCCCTATGAGGTACCAGGGAGCAAGGCTTCACATAAGACAAGTGACTTTACCCTGTACTATCTCTCTTTCTTACACTTTCACACTCAAAATCTAAAAGCAATAGAGTATGCTATAAGCATACATCAAATAACATTCACAGCAAGCTCAAAATTATACTATTAAAATAACAGTTAAAGGGGCGGGAGCAAGAGTACAGTGAGTAGGCAATGGCCTTGCACAGAGCCAACCTGGGTATGATCCCTGGCATCCCAAACAGTCCCCCAAGCACTGCCAGAAGTAACTGCTGAATATAGAGCCAGAAGTAATTCCTGAGCATAGCCATGTGCAGCCCCAAAAGAAAATACATAAATAACAGTAGAAGAGATTTTACTCTACCAGGAAAAACTGAATGGTAAAACCTTTCCTAATAGCCTCTTTCAAATAACATCAGTAAAAACTTATAAAAAGGCAACATTGATATTTTGTTTATTCATGGCGGAGAGGGGTCACATTCATTGGTGCTCAGGGGTTACTCCTGGCTTCTACACTGAGGAATCACTTCTGGTGGTGCTCAGGGGACCATACGGGGGATTCCCGCTGGGGACTGAACCCAGGTCAGCTGCGTGCAAGGAAAGTGCCTTATATTTCTTCAGTCCCTCAGGAGTCACTTTTGGCAGTGCTCAGGAGACCAGACGAGATGCTGGGAATCAAACCTGAGTTTGCATGCTGCAAAGCAAATGCCTCACCCGCCTTACTATCTCTCCAGTGCTACAATGCAGGTTTTGAAAAAATTCCTAGCAAATTCCTTCCAATCTGTGATAAATTACTAAAACAGTGTAAACTGGGGCTGAAGGGATAAAACAGCAGCTAGGGAGTTTACCTTTGTACATGGCTGATCAAGATCCAATCCCCAGCACCATATGTTCCCCCAAGCGCCACCAGAAGTGATCCCAGAAAACAGAGCCAGGACTAAGCCCTGAACACTGCCAGGAACATACCCCCACTTCCCTACCCCATACCAAAAAAAGGTATAAACAAGAGAACTCCATTTTTTAAAAAATTGTTTTGAGGCCATACCCAGCAACGCTCAGGGGTTATTTCTGAGTGCTTGGGGGGACTATATGGGATGCCAGGGATCAAACCCTGCTTAGCTGCATAAAAGGCAAATGACTTTCTGCTGTACTATTGATCTGGCCTCAAGAATTCAATTGTTATGTTCTAATTTTACCTGGGTTGAATAATCCATAATTATTATAGAGAATCCACATATCAAAAAGCTACTAAAAATATTACTAAGCTGGGGCCAAATATCAATAATTATATATATATTTTTCTTTTTGGGTCACACCCAGCGATGCACAGGGGTTACTCCTGGCTCTACACTCAGGAATTACTCCTGGTGGTGCTCAGGGGACCATATGCGATGCTGGGAATCGAACCCAGTCAGCCACATGCAAGGCAAACACCCTACCCACTGTGCTATCACTCCAGCCCCCGCTAATGATACTAATATGTCCCCTGAGCATCACGAGGAGTAATTCTTGAGTGCAGAGCCATGAGTAAGCCCTGAGCACCAACGGATGTGCTCAAAAATAAACAAAAATAGGTAAGCATTTTCTGCTATTTGACCTCAAGGAATATTTGGTATAAGAACGATAACTCTCCCAGTTTGGGGTTCACATTAGAAAACATCAAATAAAAAGACAAATAAGATAATGCCAACTTGTACCTGGTCCAGATTCTTGACCATAACTAAGACCTGATGTGTGCTTGGTCCGCACTCGTAAAGTCTGTGCCCTCTGCTGACGGGCCATATCGCAGGTCTGGTTTGGATGCCATATTTGCTTGCAGTGGTAGCAGAACTCAGTCTGGCAGCCTTCCCTCTCACAGGTCAGCTTTGGGCAGCTGGCACAGCCATACGCTATAACAGCATAACTAGATAAAGAAATACGAAGAGAAATGAAAAAGGGAAGAATGATCAACAAGACATATTCCATCAATTCCAGGAGGGCAATACTGTTCTATATACCCACCACTACATAAAACGTAGAGAAAGAACACAGAGTATACATGGATATGTGTGCTGAAACTGCAGTACATTCTGTTTGAGAAAGTTAAATTTCTTCCTGTTCTTCTAAGAGCATAAATAATTTTCCTTAGGGGAAAAAAGGGGGGGGTGCTTAGCAGCATTTTGCTACAACATTAATGTAAATATATTAAAACTATTTCCCTTTGATAGTTGACTATATTAGAGAGAAACATTAAAACTTATATAGGTACCGGAGCAACAGTACAGAGTGTAGGGTGTTTGCCTTGCACGAGGCTGACCTGGATTTGATCCTGGCATCCCATAAGTCCCCTGAGCACCACCAGGAATAATTCCTGAGTGTAGAGCCAGGAATAACCCCTTAGCATCACTGAGTGTGACCCAAAAAGACAAAAAAAAAAAAGAACTATAGGTGTTTAGAGAGAGAGAGAGAGAGAGAGAGAGAGAGAGAGAGAGAGAGAGAGAGAGAGAGTACAGCACATAAATTGCTTGCCTTGCATGTGGCTGCCCTGGGTTAAATCCATGGCATCCCAAAAAGTCCCTCAAGCACCACCAGGAATAACTGTAGCACTGTAGCACTGTCCTCTCGTTGTTCATCGAATTGCTACAGTGGGCCCAGTAACGTCTCCATTGTGAGACTTATTGTTACTGTGTTTGGCATATTGAATACGTCACAGGTAGCTTGCCAGGCTTTGCCGTGCGGGCGAGATACTCTCGGTAGCTTGCCAGGCTCTCGAGAGGGGAGGAGGAATCCAACCCGACTCAGCCAGGTCGGCCGCACCGCTTGTGCTATCACTCCAGCCCACCAGGAATAACACTAGGAGTAAACTGTCAGGACCCAGGATGTGGTCCAAAAACCAAAACCAAATTAAATTAAGAGCTATAGCTAAAAATGAAAGCAAATATATCCTTTTCTTTTCCCATAAGTAGTGCTTATGGCTTACTCCTAGAGGTGCTTAGGGCTTACTCCCAGCTCTATGCTCAGGGATTACTCCTGGCAGAGGTCCATATGTGGTGCTGGTGATAGAACGTGGGTGGGTCACATGCAAGGCAAATACCCTACTTGCTGTACTAGCTCTCTGGCCTCTTTTCTCTTTTTCAAAGGGGACAACTGGCAGTGTTCAGGGGCTATCAGGGCCAACCTAGCATGCTCAGGGGCCATGTGGTGCCAAGGATTGAACATATGTAAGGCATGTGCTCTCTAAGACTTTCACCAATATTAATACTGACAAAAAGTTTACACAAAAAGCAATTTATGCAAAAATCTAATAATATTTTTGTGAATTTAGTCTATGGTTCTTCTCTTTATCTGTACACATAATAGCAAATTAATAGCAACTCAGTTCCCTGGTTTATCATACCTCCTCCAAGACAACTTGAGAATGACACTGAAAATATGGATCAAAAACAAGTTTATTAAATACAGGCTGTGTTAAGACCCTTCTCAGAAAGAGCAGTGAGAACAGGTCAATGTATGAATACAAATGATTCATATCCTGTAGGAGTTCTGGGCAAATTACCCCACCTAGCTGCAAAATAACTTCAAAAGAGAAACAATATTTCTGCTGTAGAAAATGAGTTGTTTGCTATTTTGTGTTAAATGGGAAAGGTACAAGATGATCTCAGGAAAGTATTAAATCAACTTCTAATGATACAAATTAGATAGACTGCGTGTCCAGAAGCCGAAAACATTTCATGACTTACCCCATCTCACACGGTAGGAGTAAATACTTATCATCCATTCTTTATTATTACTATTATTATTATTATTATTATTTAAGAACATTCAGGGGGTCAGACAGTACAGCAAGGTGAGGTACTTGCCTTGCATGCAAATAACCTGGGTTTGGCCTCCAGTACCCCCAGATGGTCACCCCTTCCTGCCAGGAGTAAGACCTGGGCACAGGTGGGTGTGCCCTTATACCAATCACCACCCTGGTAAATTAGAAAAATAGAAAATTTGATAGGACGCAAATTTGGGTGTGGAATTTGGTTCTAAGGAAGTGAAATAATCTCCAATGATTGTAAATTATCCCACAACAATCTATGATCATGACAAAGAATTACTCAGAACACTCGAGTAGGCATTCCTGTTTTGGGGCACTTGGTCTTGGCTCCTTGCTCCTGACTCCTGACTGCATGACACTAAACTAATTAAAATCTCCAGGCCTCAGTTTCTACACTCAAAATGGAGATAATAGGTATTTGCCACCTTTAAATGTTAACTAAATATGATCTAATATGCTTGAGATCATGCCCTGAAAGGTACAGTATACAACTAGCACATTTTGTCCCAACTTCTTTGCCTCTGCATTACTCTATTCCTTTTCCTTTTGAAATGCCCTTTCTGATTTTGGGGGAGGAGTTGGACCATCCCAGTGTCAGGGCTTATTCCTGGCTCTGCACTTAGGGATCATTCATTCTTGGGTGCACTTGGGGCTGCCAAGGATCAAACTGGTGTGATAGCACACAAGGCAAGCACTTGAACATCTGAACCCCTGTATTCTCTCTCCAAACCATTATTTCTGGGTTTTTTTTTTGGGGGGGGGGTCTGGCAAACAGTTTCAATGTTATCTTCTCTATAAAGTCCAATTAACCTCTTCATGAAGCTAGTTGCCTACTTTAGTAAATGAGCCTAAAGAACTTAATATATTATATGTAATTATCTATGAACATGTGCTTTCCCCAACCAGGCTGGACTCAGAAAAGTATCTTGGGATGGGGGGGGTGAGGGAAGAGGAGACGACATGGCACACCCCAGCAGTGCTCAGGGCTTACTTCTAGTTCAAGGGACCCTGCAGTGCCAGGGATCCAAGCTGGGTCTCCCTTGGAAAAGCATGCACTCTAGCCCTTTGCACCATCTTCCAGACCCATCCTTTTTTTTTCCTAAATCTCCAAGCTCTAGCATACTAGCTCATGCTTAAAATACCTATGATTAAATTAATGATAGAGATCCACTTCTATTTGGGTCTTTACTTTTCTCAGGGGATTTTAGCTCTCCTGGGCAATTACTCTGCCCTAAAAGCAATCTTTTAAACTATGTACCCATTAACATACAAGGCAGGTTACTGTAACTTAACCCTAAAATTTTATGTAGAACCCATTTTAGGGGACTACAGAGATTCTACAGCTGGTAGGGTGCTTGCATTGCATGCATTACCCTGGCTTGATCCCTGATCCCTGGCACTCCAGGTGGTTGGTCTCCGAAGCCCCACCAGGGGTAAATCTCAGAGCCCACATTACCTCAGGGTATGACCCATAAACAATAAAATATTTTAGGTGGGGCTGGAGAGAGTACAGAAGTAACTTGCTTTATATGTGGTCGGCCTGGATTTGATTCCCAGCACAACATATGGTCCCCCAACCCCCACCAGAAATGGTCTCTGGGTCCAGAGCCAGGATTAAGCCCGAGTACCATTGGGTGAGGCACCACCCCCCAAAATTGTAGGGACTCCTAAATTCTGAGTAAGGCAATATTATTTTCCAGCAGATGGAGAAAAGCCCTCATCCTCAGAACCAAATCTCCTATGAATACCTCTTGTACTACAATGGAGGAGCATAACCTGACATTTAGGTTTGCTAATTAGAAAACTAAACAGAAGATGTAAGAAATTGTGTGTTGTTAAAAATATGCACCCTTTTCTCTCCTTAAGTTCATACAACTTTTACTTCATTTTGTTAATTTCCTAAGTCCTTAGAAAATACCATGTGTAGGGGCTAGAGCGATAAGAACAGCAGGTAGGGCATTTGCCTTGCACGTAGCCGACCCGGGTTCGATTCCAGCATCCCATATGGTCCCCTGAGCACTGCCAGGAGTAATTCCTGAGTGCAGAGCCAGGAGTAAGCCCAGTACATCGCCGGGTGTGACTCAAAAATCAAAAACAAAAACAAAAAAAGAAATACCATGTGTAATAGGCTAGACCATAACTTTGGCCATAAGGAAAATCTCATTAGTATGAATTTATTTATGCTGCAACAGAACATGGGGTTTAGAAGTGTGTTCCTATACTTTATGTGTAACCCCTAACTTTTTAATTTCCTTTTGAATATCAGGTCTTTTTAAATTTTTTTTTATTTTATAAAGTAGTTCACAATATTTGATTACATTTAATACTCAAACACCAATCCCACCACCATTACACCTTCCCACCACATTTTGGGTGTTTCCATCCCAAATCCTAATCCCTTGCACCAAAGCAGAACCGAAATAATTTAATATTTCCCTCTAAAATTGGTTGCCACCTACTTTGAATCCCATCAAATGTGGTGCAGTACTCTTGGAGTATGTGTAATCCCTATCTTTACAAGCACTGAACATGTGGAAGGGTGGTAGACATCAATCAAGTTGCTATAATGAGCTATTCCCTACTATCTCCCTTTTCCTTCCTAGTTCAAATCCAGTTTCTTGCAGTCATTTCTTGGCCAGACAACTGTAAGAGACTCCTACCTGGTTTCCTTATATTCCACTCCAATACATATTCCATTCAAGAAGAACATCTTTCGGCCTAAATACATTTGGCCTAAAATACCTCAACAAAAAAGAAAAAGAAAAAATGTCCTTCAGAGTGAAACTTGTTTGCATGCCATAGGAGGTCTAGTAACTTGAATCTAGTCTCCCTTTTCAAATTTTCTAGTCACTCCCCAAATCTACTCCCCATATTGTGCACCCAGAGGGTACTACATTACAAACCAGACTAGAGACTTAGTATTGTTTTTATGCATTTGCTCATAACACTCTGGTTTCATATGCCTTTTTCTTTATCCTCAAGTTTATTTGCCTGGTAAGAATTCCCACTCGTATTTTCAAGGCTCAAATCAAATATCACCTCATGATGTCTTGATACCATCATGCAAAACCTATCTATCCCTGAGGAGCACTTGCGTAATT